TTATTCATTTGAAAAACACATAATTAATTCTTTTTTTTTCTGACCTTGTGCCTAATCTGCAAGAAAAGTGAATGTGCAATCACTCACAGTACAAGCAGGGTCCAGTCCCAGCTGAACTTTGATTCCTGTTTTGGCATATAACTCAATAAAATAAACATAAGACCAGCAGCCTAGAGCTATTGGCATTATTTATTAAATATTCCCGCCCTAGATCATCTTTATGTGCGTGTGATGAGAGGAATCAGAGGCCGCCACTAAGGAGGGGTCACCCAGCTGTCTGGAGTGCATCCATGTTTATCAGCGAGGGATTGCTGCTGCCACCAGGCTGTGAAATCACTGATCTGATGATGGGAGTCGTCCCCCTGACAGAGCTGGAAACAGTGACAGTGGAGGCTGGAGAATGAGTCTGGTGAAATATGGGCCTGTCATCAGGGAAAGAGGCTGAGCACAGAGGCGCAGGGCCGCCGCTCCCCGTGGCTGGCTTCATCATTGACGCTCCCCATGGAGCAGAGTGGTGGTTGAGGAGGAGGGGTGCTGGTAAATGAGAGAGAATTGGAGGTGACCTGATTAAGTCTTGAAGCCTATCTTACCTATACAAGTTGTCCTCATTTGTTCCAATTGCCTTGGACTATAAACACAAATATACCAACTTCAATTTCTGCCTTTCAAGGGAGGGAAGTCCTAATGAGAATTTATTGCCCTGTTGTTGTGACCATGAAGGCTCCAGGGATTTAGGAAAAGTTGTGCATTTGAATGCACCTTAAAATTGATGTGAGGGAACTAAGATGTAAAGAAGAAGTTGATGGTTTCTTTTCCTCCTTAAGTCTAGACTACTCTCATTCTAAGAGGTATGCAGTATTTAAACCATGAGTCGATGTACTCAAACGAGACTCGACATGAGCTGCTTCTCTCTTTCATATTACAGCCAACACATTCATCCTGGTGTGCTAACCCGTAAAGTAAAATATTTGTTAAATCTTATATTTACATGTAAATATATTGTACAGTGGAGTGAGCTTTCTGTTCAGTGTTAGCTATTATCAAAATTAATGAGCCAGCAACTGCGGCTGAACGTAATTCACAAATCCATTTTTTTATGCTCACTATCTAAAAGTCTTTAGCCATTCCCATTCTCGTAGCTCATATTTTCTCATCTGTCTCTGTTTTTGCTTTACAAAGCCAGCCTTTCCTTGTCCCTATGCCATGTAGCAATGTGTTGATCCCTGCGGAAATGAAGATTTCCTTACATCTTTATTCATTTCATTAGGTTGCAAAGCATACAGCCAGAAGATGAATTACCTGTGGCCTTAAGTTTGTGCCTCCGAATCTCTACTCAGAAGTATTTGCAAAAATTAGACTTCAACTTTGAAGATTTCTTTTTTAGCAGTGTTGATTTACAGACTGGTTCCTGTTCTCTCTTTACTAAATTCAAATATCCTTGCAAAAACCTGATTTAGTGAAGAATAAAGGTCTAAAGTTATGTTTTGGAAGTTGTATCTCATTGTAGAACAAATTAAGAGTGGAGTAGTGTGAAAATTCATGATTGTTTGGGTAATGCGGAGTAAAATTTAAGCAATAATAAGAAAAATAATTTTTGTATTAATAGAGTGCTTTAAGATTCTGAAAAAAAGTTTAAAAAGTGTTATTTTAGATTATATGTAAAGTATGAGAGTTCTCCTGAATACAGTATTAGGTGTAAAAAATGGGCTTTAAACTGGCCCAATCTATTAAAAAAAGATGTATTCAGTGAAAGATTCATTAAGCCCTCGCATGTGCTGTATGCAGATTTCAGAGGCAAAGTGCCCCAGAAAAAAAGCCTGATTAAACACAAGTAGTAATTAAAATCTGAACACAAACACTCACTCATTTTGTGACCTGGACATGAACTACTACACAAGCTGGCTGTGGCTGAAATGAGGCAGGGATGGGGAGGATGCGGTCCGGTTGTGAGCAAACTAATGAAGCTGTGTGATGTTAGCGTGTCATCAAAGTCATTAATTTAAGGCATCCTCCGATCACGACCGGGTCGACACGTTTACCTCCTGTGAGGAGGATCATGAGGGGAGGGAGGTGGTGGTGGTCGCCACCCTGGCTGCTGTGACAGTTTTCACCTTGGCAGACCTTGTGGAGATGCTGTCCATTTCTGCTGCAGCACCTGAGTCTTTGGAGTCGGATCCAGCACCAGAACACTCAGAACCAGAGTCCTCTGAGCTAGAACGAGTACCAGAGTCTACAAAGTCCCAGGGTCTGATTGCCAAGTCCCCGGGTCTGCCTGAGGCTCTAAAGATCTCCAAGCTGGTCTCTGCTCCTGAACGCACTCTGGTCCCTGATGCAGCTGAGGATTCTTTGCCGCCTGCAGCTGCAGAGTCTCCAGTGCCGGACCCTGCAGAGTCTCCAGTGCCGGCCCTTCCAAAGTCTCCTAAGCCGGCCCCTGCAGAGTTTCTTTCATTGCCAGCCCCTCTAGTGTTTCCAGTCACCCGCAGCACCGGCCCCAGCTGAAATCCGTTTTTTCAGCGGCCGAGTACTGGGCCGCCCCCCAGAGCTCCATCTTCGCCGTGGCAGAGCTCCAGGTCGCCCACCAGAGCTCCATCCTCGCCGCGGTTGGGCTCAAAGCCGCCCACCTGAGCTTCGCCTCCGACATGGTTGGATTCACAGCCGTCCACCAGAGCTCCGCCTTCGTTACGGCTGAGTCCACAGTCGTCCTCCTGAGTTCCACCTCCAACGTGGCCTGATCCACGGCCATCCTCCAGAGATCCACCTCCGCTGCAGCCGGATCCATGGCCACCCTCCAGAGCTCCACCTCCACTGTGGCCGAGTCCACGGTCGCCCTCCGGAGCTTCTTTGTCGTCGCTGTTGAGTCCGTGGGTGGCCACCTGAACTTTTTTTTTTAGATGCGCCTTGGGCCGTCTTGGTGACTSATTTTTTTTTGTTTTTCCCAGGACTTTTTTTTTTTACCCGTCAGTTTTTGGTGTCATTTTTTGTGTCTTCTTGTTTTTGTGTTTCCTTTGTTGTCTTTTGTCTCGTGCCCCCCATCCTGTCTTTGTATTGGTACCCCCCTCCACACTCCCGTGCCCATTGTCGAATCGTCAGGTGATGATTTGTGGGGGGTACTGTGAGGATATGGGTCTTCTGTTGTCTTGTGTCTACCTCCCTCTGGCGTTACCTTATTATCATCACTCCTCAGATGTTTACATGTCACTTCCCTCCTCAGTCTATTACTCACACCTGTCAGCAGTTCCCAATTAGTGTTTTCATCAGCTGTAGTTCATCTCCTCATTTCCTCTGTTTGTATATATACTGGTCATTTACTCCACACCCTTACTGGGTCATTGTTTGAAATGCTCAACTGTTTTGGTTTTCCCTTGTCGTCTCCCTGTATCTTCAGAGTTTTTGTTAGTTGCTGCCTTGTCAGCCTTTTTGTTTTATTTTGTTAAAATAAATCTTTTTTTCTTAAAACTCTTACCTCCGCCTGAATTTGGGTTCATTCCTCTGTTGTAACTGTAACATTGACTCCGTATAGAAATAGCCTGCCCCTTTAAGGCATTGTCATGAGGCGGGGTCAGGATGTGAAGAGGTTGGTAACTTGATGTTTTCTTCCAGGTTCTGGTCACTGGTTAGCTGATGCCTGTCGGAGGCAGATTAAACTAAAGCTAATCAGTCCACAGCTGTCTGGGTGGTTTTATATGGCTCCCTCAAACATTCACATCATTATTAACAAGTGTTAGATCTGAACTGATAAAGGGTAAAGAACATTGCTTATTTTTTAACACGCAGGTAAGTTAATAATTGCTCATATTGATTCAAACAAACTCCAGTTCAAAATACCCAAACTATTCTTTTAACATCGCACTGCAGCTGCAACCTTTTCACTTGTAATGCCAGCTAATTACACCAAAGGTTGTTTACAATATGCCACTCTAGTTTGGTAATGACAAACAACTCCATCTCCAGAAAAGMTGTTTTCTCGTGTTTTGCCATTCTCAGCATCAACAACTTTGTACCCTCGACCCCCTAGTCTAGTGGCTGTTTTGTGTATTCACTGATGTCTTGCGACTGGTGAATGCTGGAAGATGTAATCAGTCTTGCTTGACTTCACTTGATCTGTTTCCTCAATTAGGTTGCAAGCTCACAACTGCAGAACGCTTGCTGCTTTAACATAGGTTTTCTGGTAAAGTCAATGTGGCTTGTTGTTAAAGGGAAATGTTTGTCTTGGGGGAGGGTTTTCACAGCCCTTCTCACAGATCCTCCGTCTATCAGTGATCAGACAGAACATTTTGTTGCCCAAAGCGGAGTATAAAAATGTGCGAAAGGATTTGCTTTTAACATGTTGTGACACGATTCATGTCWACAACACACATCCTTTCTCTCAGGATGCTAACATGAGGTTTTACCACATGTGCTTCTGAACAGGTGTCGACACGCAGAGCTCATCTGTGGAAAGAMAACAAAACTGCATCACTGAAGAAGGCAAAACATGTTTCCTTTACCTCAGAAGGATTGTCAGAAAACGTAATTTTGGAATTGTTTATACAGTTGGAATCAGTCGAGGAGATTAAAGCATGACTTTACATGCATCTCACTCTAAGATGTCTTGGAGCAGAAAAAGTCAAACCACTGCACACAGCGGTTGGGATCAGCACAATCGGATCCATGCAATCATTGCAGATTCTGGCACGCTGTTCTGACCATACACACTATCCCGAAACATGATGCCATTTGTGAAAAGTTTGTCTCTCTCCCATCTGTACTTCCTAAACTTTCTGAAAACCGTGCCAACGCTGTGCATATTCCAAYGACTCAGTGTGTGTCTGTTAGGTTTTGTTCTGTACATCCCTTGGGGTGTTTTCACATGCTCCGCTTTGAATCTCACACTGGTTGGATTCACTGGGGAAACGTCCTCCAGCACGTTTTGAATAATTACAATTGCATATTTGTTTGTGCCTGAACACATTTATGTGTATGTAACTCAAAGAATTTGACAGCCATTACAGAAGCAGCTGTGGCGAATGTGCAGCAGTGTGTTCTCGTCATTACCAATAACAAGAACGTGGAGCTGGAACTGTAAAAGAGGCTCCTGGTGGACACTGAACATTACCACCTAAAGCCCTCGGAGGAATACGGTTGAAGAGAAGACACACTTCTAAATTTTGTTTGAGATGCACACAAATATCTAGGAGGCATGAACACTGAAATGTTAACTCAACAGGTACAGTAAAGTCTAATCGGTGTTCACATGTGC